AGCGTCGGCCACGGGGCGGGGCCCGCGTCCAGCGAGGGCCAATCAGCCGCGACCACACTTCGCTTGCGTCCAATCCGCGCCTTCCCACTTTGGGAGGAACCGACGGAAACATTCCAGAGGGATCGCTCCGCCACGCCCGTCTCTCCCACACTCCCCTCCCAGCAGCACAGTGGACCGTGCCGCCCCGCCTAGGCCTCAGCGGGTTGTACCACCGCGGGGCTGCAGAGGGGGGCTCTGCGCCAGGGCCCAAGGCCAATCGCGCGGGAGGAAGCAGGCGAGCGGCCAATGGGAAGCTGGGACCTCCGGACCACGTGCTGATCGCCGAGTGTGTGTCTGGGGTGCCCTGGTGTTAAGGGCCGGGGATTGGTGGTGGGAGTCAGGTGACCAGGGCCGAATTTCGGGGAGAGGACGTGAACTCCCAGCATCCAGAAAAGCAGACACACTGGGAGGCCCTGGTCCCCCGACCTGGTTTCCCACCCGGCCTCCTCTGCCACACTGGGAGGCCCTGGTCCCCCGACCTGGTTTCCCACCCGGCCTCCTCTGCCCCAGCCCAGCCGTGCTATGGGAGGATAGAAAGATGCATTCATCATCATGAATAGGGGGAGGGTCCCGGGTGTCCCTGTTGCTTGCAAGGGACAAAGAACAAAAGCATTCATTTAGACGTTCATTCATTCATCAGCTATTTAGTGCGCCCAGTGCTCCGTGCCAGGCTCGGTCGGACCTCCAAAAGCTGGCAGTGTGCAAGGCCTGCAGACCATACAGGAAACTGCAGTACACCGCAGGATACGGTAATGTGGAGACCTGGCCAAGCAGTGTGAAAAGCACAGTGGTTTGGCTTTGTTTCCTCTGTACCGGAGATCGAACTCGGGACCTTGTGCTTGCAAGGCAGGCAGCGGGACCACTAAGCCAAATCCCCGGCCCTTGATTTTGGTTTTTTGAGACAGGGTCTCACTGTGTAGCCCAGGCTGGTCTTGAACTCGCTACGTCGCCTAGACTAGCCTCGAATTTGTGGCGACTCTCCTGCCTCATACTCCTGAGGGCTGGGTGACAGGTGCGTACTGTCATGCCTCAAGAAAAGGCACAATGGACTGGAAGACTAGGGCGGGAGGTTGTATTCGGGTTTGATTAGTTGAACACCTACTCAGTTCCCCGAACAGGTGGGGTTGGGGCTGAGGGCGAGGTGTATTCTGGTAGTTGCTCTTAGAGACCCCTAGTTAGGGGCTGACATCCTGTGTGAGCCTCCTGGAATGGTGGGTCTTTGAAGTACTCAGGGAGACCTGTAGCGCTCTCCAGCCTCCCCAGGAGGGGAAAGTGAAAGAGCTTGGGCCTTGGGCTGAGCCGCTGAAGGCCGCCTGGGTGGACCCACCCAGCTCACAAATAGATCTTACCACGCCGCCGGGCAGCAGGAGCAGCTATTGTCTCTCCCTTCCGGCTCTGTTGACCTCTGCCACCCCACCGAGCGGCAGTGCCCACCGTCCTGCTGGAGCTTGCCCTCCTGCACGCTTGGAGAGAGGTGTGTGGGGATGAGGACAACACGACCCAGGCTGCAGAGTCCTGAGCCGAGTCCACCTGCTTCTTCCATTGGCTGCTAAGGAAGTGCCAGAGAGAAGATTCTGGGGAAGCCCAAGGGCGCAGAGCCTGCGGGGCACCGCCTACCAGTTTTACAGCTCCGGAGGCACCCCTGAGAACGGACTGGGAGCCCAGTTAGGGAGGAGCTCAGAACTGAGTGTGACTTCTGGAGTCAGGCATGGCGGTGCCTACCTGGAATTAATTCTGCTACACAGGAGGCTGAGGCTGGAGGAGGATCGCTGCGAGTTTGAGGCCAGCCTGAGCTACATAGCTAGACCCTATCTCAAAAAAAGAAAAAAAAAAAAAATCCCGGTTTTGGCATGCCAGCTGCTACATACAGAAGGAGAGATTAAATTAGAAAAAGTCACCATTTTTGCAGCCATCAGAGGAATTAGTTGATTTGAGGCAAGTTTTATCACTGGGGAAGTGAATTTCACACAGTCTCAAAGGATCAGCTCACAGACTGCATTTTCAATTAGAACAGGGGAAAGGCAGTTTTTACAGATGGTTTCTGACTCGCAGTGGTTCCATTTTGATTTTCCAATGTTATGATGCTGTGAAAAGGATAATGCATTGTGTAGAAACTGTAGAGTACAGGGGAGAAATGTACCAGTCACCACCTTAGCCAAGCAATCAAAATTGACATTGGGCTGGCTTAGCAGCACACACCTGTAATCCCAGCATTCAGGAGGCTGAGGCAGAAGGGCAGCCTGGGCTACATACTGAGGGTCTGTCTCAGAACAAAACAAAAAAGTGAACAGTGGTACTTTATCCAGGCGATCCAAGTACCAATTTCATGTGTTCTCTGCTGCAATGGCAGTGTCCAAAGTGCCGAGCCTGAATCTGATTATGAGAAAACAGCCACGTACATCCAGATCAAGGAGGGCTCTACGA